GATCCATGTGTTTCCTTGGCATGACCTAAATGACTTCCCCACTGCATGCCCTCTACTTATAATAAGGACTCAGGCTCTAGTTCTGATGAATAGAAGCAAACAAATGGGAAACTCGGGCCTTGGTGCAAGGTCAGGGTTGCCAAGCCTATAGACATGGGCAGATGTTTCTCTACAGAGCAATGGGCATGAGGATTAAAATACAGAGCAGCTGTTGATGAACTAGATAGTCCTAAGACCCTTCCTATAAATCTCTTTTAATTAATTGCCCTAAAGACCATCTATAACTTTCAGGGCAGCAAAAATAAAGGCAAACATTTGGGGGCAAAATGCTACTTGCCTTCCTTTCGTTGAAAACAATGAAGGGAAATGTACATGTGGGTGCACGGTGTGAATGAGAATAGGGTTCCACCCATTAAGCAGTCTTGTCCATTAGCAAACTAGTATAACAAATATGTCATCTTGGCCCAGCTGATTATTTTTTCTTTTTGAGACTGAATCTTGCTCTGTCACCCAGGCTGGAGTACAGTGTCGTGATCTCGGATCATTGCAACCTCTACCTCCTGGCTTCATGTGATTCTCCTGCCTCAGTCTCCTGAGTAGCTGGGGATTACAGGCACCTGCCACCACACCCCACTATTTGTTTCTTTTTTGAGTCAAAGTCTCGCTCTGTCTCCCAGGCTGGAGTGCAGTGGCACAGTCTTGGCTCACTGCAACCTCCATCTCCCAGGTTCAAGCAATTCTCCTGCCTCAGCCTCCAGAGTAGCTGGGACTACAGGTGCGTACCACCATGCCCAGCTAATTTTTGTATTTTTAGTAGAGACGAGGTTTCATCATGTTGGCCAGGCTGGTCTCAAACTCTTGACCTTGTGATTCACCCACCTCAGCCTCCCAAAGTTCTGGAATTACAGGCATGAGCCACCGTGCCTGCCTGTCGGTTAATTTTTGTATTTTTAATAGACATGGGGTTTCACCATGTTGGCCAGGCTGGTCTCAAACTCCTGACCTCAGGTGATCCACCCACCTCAGGATACTGCCTGTGTAATACACCAGTGTCACACAGAGGCTTCCCCAAGATTTCACTCTGGAGTTCCACATCTAGAAAGAAGGAGGCATACCAAGTGTCTCAGAGTACATTTCTATTGTATCTGGAATACGCTTCTGTGATTCTCAGGACATAGATTACTTTCTATGCCCTGACAGGGTATGAACACATGAGACAATTACAAAGTTTTGCTTAGAGTCAGTATAGCACGAAGCTTAGGGAATAGGCTCTTCAATCAGAGCATCTGGATTCAAATCCCAAATAACACATTAAGTGCTCAATAAATATTGGCTATTATTTTATTTAGAATAAAAACCAAAGTATGGTCTACAAAGTTTAAGATGTTCCCTACTTCTCAAACCTCACCCTGTCCTGCTCTCCTTAATTGTTCGCAACTCAACTTGCCTCTGCAATTTCTTGAACAGAACATTCCAAGTTTATTTGCCTTGGGGTCTTTACAGTTATTTTTCTCCCAGTATAGAATTGTTTCCTCAGATCTTTTGTAATTGGCTCTCCCTCACCTTTCAGGTTTGGGGTTTAATGTGGTCTCTGAAGAGGCCTCCCATAACTAACCTATTCAAAACAGATCCCTTTCCCCACCCTAACATGTCACAGTTTCATTTCTTTTACGGCACTTATCAGTAATTTACCTGATTTATCTCCCCCATTTAAATAAAAACTCCTCTACAACAGGAAACCTCTTGCTCATTTTTATTCCAGAACCTAGAACAGTACACTGAAGGCACTTGATGTTTGTTATGAAAAGGAAAAAATTAAATTCAGGCTGGGCATGGTGGCTCACACCCATAATCCCAAGCACTTTGGGAGGCTGAGGCAGGAGGGCTGCTTGAGCACAGGAGTTTGAGATGAGCCTGGGCAACGTATTGAAACCCCATTGCTCCAAACATTTTTTATTTTTTAATTAATTAATTAATTAATTATTTTTTTGAGACAGAGTTTCACTCTTGTTACCCAGGCTGGAGTGCAATGGCGCAATCTCGGCTCACCGCAACCTCCGCCTCCTGGGTTCAGGCAATTCTCCTGCCTCAACCTCCTGAGTAGCTGGGATTACAGGCACGTGCCACCATGCCCAGCTAATGTTTTTTTATTTTTAGTAGAGACAGGGTTTCACCATGTTGACCAGGATGGTCTCGATCTCTTGACCTCGTGATCCATCCGCCTCGGCCTCCCAAAGTGCTGGGATTACAGGCTTGAGCCACTGCGCCCGGCTTTTTTTTTAAATAGAGATGGAGTTTCACCATGTTGGCCAGGCTGGTCTCAAACTCTTGACCTCAGGTGATCTACCCGCCTCGGCCTCCCAAAGTGGCAAAGTGCTGGGATTATAGGCATGAGCCACCACGCCTGGCCACTAAAAAAATGTTTCAAATTAAAAAATGGTTAGGCATGGTGGCCCACACCTATAATCTAAGCTACTTGAGAGGCTGAAGGGAGGCTCACTTGAACCCAGGAGGTTGACGCTGCAGTGAGCTATGATCACAACACTCCACTCCACCCTGGGCTATGGAGCAAGATTTTTGTCTCAAACAAACAAACAAACAAACAAACAAAAAAACCAGTTCAAATCTCATCTCACCATAAAACCTAGCTACAATCCCCAGAAAGAACCAAATTTCAAATACTAAAATATGCCAGGCGCAGTGGCTCATGCCTGTAATCCTAGCACTTTGGGAGGTTCGAGGATCAGCTGAGGTCAAGAGTTCAAGACCAGCCAGGCCAACATGATGAAACCCCCTCTCCACCAAAAATACAAAAATTAGCCAGGCGTAGTGGCAGGCACCTATAATCCCAGCTACTTGGGAGACTGAGGCATGAGAATGGCTTGAACCTGGGAGGTGGAGGTTGCAGTGAGCCGAGATTGTGCCACTGCACTCTAGCCTGAGGGATAGAGCGAGAGACTCTGTCTCCAAAAGAAAAAGGAAATACTGAAATAGATCTGGGTTGTGTACTGGTTATCTGTCATATTCTTAACAGCCCATCTTTTGAAAAATATTTCACTATTGGGGAAAATCCCACACCATGAGTTCTGTCTTCCCAGCATAGATACTAAAACACAAATTCCCGGCCTCTCTTGCCGCTAAGATGTAGGCATGTAAATAGGCTCTGCCTACCAGACACCCTCACAAGATTTGACTCAGAAAAGAATAAGGTAGTGACTCTGCTTCTCGACACATGGACTGTGGCTGAATGTTGGGCTGTCTGGGAGAGCAGGGGGGTCATGTCAAGTGAAATTGGTGAGACTGTAGTGGCAGTTTCCTCCTGTACTTGAAAGGGAACAGACACTGTTCTCATAAGGCCAGTTTTGTGCACGATCTTGGGCACCATTCCTAGAAGTACAGCCTTGACTCTGTCCCAAAAATTCTCAAAAGCTCTTCCTGCCACTTTAGTAAACCCTTTCCCACTTAGCCAGTCAGCTTCTCTTGCCTGTCCCCGCTGACAACCAGGTTTACAGGAACTACAACTTTCTATGACTTTAGGACATCAGCCTTTAGAATATATAATCATTCTTGTGTCTCGCTACTTGTCTCCCAATATTTATCAGAATCAGTTGTCCCTGGAAGGAGGAGTTGAAAAACACAGGACATGTTTGTTCTCCGCTCCAGGTCTGTCATTTAATTCCGTAACTCCTTGAGACAGTCCTAAGAGACCTGCTTCATCTTTATAAGAGAAGGGTATTCTATACTTTAAGTATACCTGTTCAAATAATTAGTTACAATATTTCATAGTTAAAACGTGATGACTAATTTTGAATTTGATTGTTAAATACCACTCTCTTATAATAAAAGAAGATTCTGTATCACAGATTGCAAATTGGTGAGTAAATCCGGTCTGCAGAGGGTTTTCTGGCCTATAATGCTTTTAAGCTTTTTTTTTCTAATTGTTGACAGAGATACAAAGACTTTGCAGTTATATCTGTGATTTCTGCTACTCTTAAACAACAACAATGGATGACTACGAGCCTGCATGCAGCAACCAGTGAAGGAACAGGCCCCCTTTTCACAGGCCATTAGTTTAACCGGCCACTGACAGTCACTCACAAATCAAATTTTTACTTTAAAATTCGTTGTCTATATTGGAAGTTGGGGAGACTACCTACCATTTTATGAAAATGTAAAGTAAACAAACATAAAAACACATTTTACATTCGTATAAAATGCTGGAATAAAAAAGATTAAATCAAAATAGAAAAGGTAAGTTAAAAGAGAAGAAGCAAAGGGTTGGGACTTGGACTTTAAGATTCCAAAGCAAGTCAAACCAATCTAGAAAATGTTCTATGTATGTGCAACATAAGGTGGACTCTGAAGCTAACTTTTATAAAACAGTAGCAATTTGTAAGAGGCACTGACAGACTACAAAGGTGGCTTCCTTTATTTTGGCAAACTTTAAAGATCTCATTTTGATACTAATTCAAAATGCCAAATAGAATGACCCCCCTTTCTGAATAATCAAAACAATTTACATTTTAAACATGTACTTTTGCCGGGCGCGGTGGCTCAAGCCTGTAATCCCAGCACTTTGGGAGGCCGAGGCGGGTGGATCACGAGGTCGAGAGATCGAGACCATCCTGGTCAACGTGGTGAAACCCCGTCTCTACTAAAAATACAAAAAATTAGCTGGGCGTGGTGGCGCGTGCCTGTAGTCCCAGCTACTCAGGAGGCTGAGGCAGGAGAATTGCTTGAACCCAGGAGGCGGAGGTTGCGGTGAGCCGAGATCCTGCCATTGCACTCCAGCCTGGGTAACAAGAGCGACACTCTGTCTCAAAAAAAAAAAAAAAAAAAAAATGTACTTTTGTAGCATGTATTCTATCATCTGAAATATTAGTAAGATCAATACTTTTTCTTTTTTAATACAAAAAAGGGCTTTCACCATGCTGGCCAGGCCGGTCTCGAACTCCAAGTGATCTGCCCACCCTGGCCTCCCAAAGTGCTGGGATTACAGGAGTGAAGCCACCACACCCGGCCAAGATCCAAGAATTTCTTAACTGAACAGTAAACTGACCCTAAGTATATACTCTGTGATCAATTTGATAAAACTAAGTTTACTGCACCTTAATTCCAGGTATAAAATGATTTAGAAAGCATTTTGACTGGGGGAAGTGGAAAATAAGGACAGGTCAATGACCTGCAGTTTAAAATACAAAATCCTGTCACGTTGTATCTCACATGTTAAGGACACCCTCCATGTGCTGGAAAAAAAAAAATGATGGCTCTCAGAAACAGTATAATCCATTAATAAGTCATCCGATACATAACAATTTTTTAAATTCCTTATAAAAAAGGAGTCCATGTATTCACAGATACTGTACGATCCCCAGCTCCTGTATATTACATCTCCTGTATATTCACATCTTTCCCATCAAACTATAGCAGTCACCTTAGTACTGTGGAAATGTTCCATCAATTTTAGCAGCCCAGGCCATGAGGCCCCCCACAACATCCCGGACTGTTAAAGAGTCTAACTCTTGAGCTGCGGATAAGGACTGGAGGATCTTCACGGCTTTCTGTGAGTCATTTCCCAGTTTGCAAATCACATAAATGGGGAGAGCAGCCCCTTCTTGGGTACGAAGCTTCCCTTCCCGGATTGCTTCTCCTAAGAGTTTCAGGCTCTCCGCATCCCTGCGTTCCAAATGTTTCAGAGGGATGTGCAGGGCATGAGGCAAACGACAGATGTCTACCTCGACCTGAGGCCTGACGTCCAGCAACAGATGGGATGCCCCAGAATCCAGAAGTCGCTTATAGTCGGTGACGGAAACACGCTCCTCTGGGCTCAGTAACTGCAGGGAAAGGCATTTATCGGTGGCTGAGGAGCCACAGAAAGCTTCGTAGTCCAGCAGATCAGTCACAGTGGGCCGTTCCCCGCAAGCTGCACAGTCAAGCCTGCGACTCCGCAGCCGAATACAGCGGAAATGCCCTCTCAGGGCATCAAAGAGCAACAGGCTGCCACTGTAAGAGGGGCCCAGACCCGCAGCGATTTTCAGCACTTCCAAGGCCTGCAGGCAGCCCAGGACCCCAGTTACCACACCGAGCACCCCGCCGTCCGCGCAGTTGGTCACTGTCTCCGCTGGGGGTGGCTGGGGGAATATGCAGCGATAGCAAGGCCCACCGTCATAATGGTAGACTGTGATTTGGCCCTCGAAGCGCAAGGCACTGGCAGACACGAGAGGCCGACCCGCCAGCACACATGCGTCATTAACCAGGTAGCGAGTGGGCACGTTGTCCGAGCAGTCGGCCACCACGTCATATCGGCGGACCAGGTCTAGGGCAGTGGCTGGCGTGAGGGCCTGAGTGTACGGCACGCATTCCACCTCCGAATTGAGGCGGCGCAGCGAGGCGGCGGCCGAAAAGGCCTTGGCCTGGCCAGCCAGTGCCTCGCCATGCAGCACTTGGCGGGCCAGGTTGCTCATCTCTACCACGTCATAGTCCACAAGGCCAAGGCGGCCCACGCCGGCCGCTGCCAAGTACTGCGCCAGGGGACAGCCGAGCCCACCGCAGCCCACGACTAGCACGGACGCGGCGGCCAGGCGCAGCTGTCCGTGCACGCCCAGCTCCGGCAGCACTAGCTGCCTGCTATAGCGCAGAATCTCATCTCGGGACAGAGCAACCTTCGGCGGCAGCGGCGACACCGGAACCAGGCGTTCCGGCTGCGGTTTCTGCTCCGCCAAAAGGGCCGCCGCCAGCTTCTGCTTCAGGGAGTACAATTCCTCCTCACGTCGGGCAACTTCAGCCTGTAAGGCAAGGACCTCCTCACGAGAAGCCATGACGACCCCTTCCGGAAGTTGTCGTGAAAGGCACTTCCGCTTCCGCTTCCAGCTTCTGTCTCCTAGAGACTGGGATAAACTAAAGAACTTTACGGAGCTTGGGAAAGGGTGATTAATAGACATATACTTCCTAAGGAAACCTTCAGATTAAACTTTAAAGATGCATAAATCCTGAATATTTGTAATTGAACAACACAACGGTTCTAGAAGAACTAGCACTCAATCGCACAGATCATCCCCCTCTCCCAAATTTGGTAGGGTCCGACCTGTCCTTTTTGCCGCGCCTCATTTGCGCCATTCCGCTTCCGGCGTCTGGCTCACTTCCGCCATGGCCTCCTTGGAAGGGAGCCGTAGTCCTCCCAGGTCTCGGCGGGAGCTGGAGATGCGCAGTACAGGACAGGACAAATATTCGGTGCTTTTACCCACCTACAACGAGCGCGAGAACCTGCCACTGATCGTGTGGTTGCTGGTGAAAAGCTTCTCCGAGAGGTAGCGCACCAGGTCTCCCTCCGCGAGGAATGAGATGAGCTGGCCTCCCCGGCCCGGGTGTCGGCAGCTGGCTGCGCGAGTCGGCCCTGTCAGCCGCCTTTGGCTCACGCAGGAAGGCTCGGGGAGAGGGCCATCCTGCGAGGGAAGCAGAGGCAGATGTTTGTTGGGTTTTCTTCGTGTCCTGGGTTCTTATTCCTGTCTTTGGGCTTTGTGAGACACTCGTTTATCTTTATTATGGACTACTCCCGTCCCCCGTTTTTTTGTAGAAGGGTTGGCCACTCTTTTACTTGGAAGCGAGGCTGAAAGCGTGACCCCAGTCCTCCCTCTAGGTGATCAGGATCTGCGGCAAGGGCCGAGAGAGTCCAAGCGAGAGCGCTCACCCTCCATTCCGGTGCCGAGTGCTTATGTAAGCATGAGGTTTGGTCTGTGTGAGTTAGGGAGCTGTTGCTGGGCACGATAACCTTTCTGGAAAGGAGAGAGCAGAAGAGCATCTTCGCTGATCACTGGTGGATGTTTGGTGTGATTGTTAGAACCAGGATGGAGGGGGTGGAGTTGGAATTTGGAAGTGTTATATGCAGTGTTTATTTAAAACTGCAGAAAATCTTGGAGTCAGTACGAAGTAGCTTGTTCTACGATGGCACAAATGGGATCATGATGTGAAATCTTTGGAGACTTTTTTTTTTTTTTTCCATATTAACGTATGTATATAGCAAATTACTTTGGAAGTTAGGTAACATTCCGTATGTCTCTTATTTAATCAGGTCATGGCAATGAACGGATTATTTCCAGAGGTTTTTGGTTGTTTTTTTTTTTTTTTTTTTTTTGGCTTTTGCTTTGCAAATGAGAACAAGGACTTTGTTCACACCATATTTTTCAACTAAATTTAGAAAAGTGGTTGACACATAATGGTGCTCCTTTATTGTATCAATTTCGGCAGCAGACACACTCGTACTTGTGTACTGGGAATAAATTCTTCAAGGTAGGATTTCTGCGTCGACAGAGAGGTGCTTAAAATGGACAGTTATTGCCAGATTACTCTAAAGAAAAAAGATTATACCAGTTTAGGATTCTCCATTCTTCAGAGTGCCTGTTTTCCCATCAACCAGTCTGCTTGAGCATTATTAAATTTAACATTGTTGGAAGTGCTAATTTGTGAAAACCGTTGCTGTCTTGATTGTATTTCCTTGCTGCCTTCACATGCCTTGCCCCTCAGAGTTTTAAAATTTATATTTTTTCCGCTTAATTTTTAAATTTTGATTTCTATAAGCTCTAAATTAATTAACCATCATTCAACCGATCTCTTTCAGGGCTTGTATTCTAATTTTGCAAAGTTTTTTTGCTGTTTTCTTTAATTTTTTTTACGTTGTACAATTTATCTTTCCTTTTAATGGTTTGTGAAAATCTTTTAAGACCAAAATGAGGTTTAATAAAGGAAACAAAACGATTTGCTTTTCAGATGCAATCAAATTACCTGAAGTCAGCCCAGCTTGATTCCTTTAAGCTTCCTCTCCCGTAAATGGAGTAGCTAGCTGCTTTGAAGTGGTAGGGGACAGTAATTTGCTTTTAACGACCCCATTTTGTTTATGGAATTTTTCTTTCAGCACGTCTACTAAAATCACCCTACATGTTTTGGCGTGTAAAGGTACCAGTGCTCAAATTTAAGGCACAGTGGGAAGCCAGAGTCATTGTATCTACTCTTGGAGAATAGATACACAGGGTTTTGCTTTCTTGTCTTCGGAGTTGCTGGGTCTGACTTGTTAAAGCCTTTACCAGTGGAATATGTTTTCTGCTTGATTTTCTTGCATATGTTTCTTAGAGCAGGACCAAGAGAAGACAGATTGTTATTTTGTAGGTATAAAATTTTAATAAGAATGTCTTTAAAAGCGAGGGAGTGGGGAGTAGCCACATGTACACCCATGCAGTATTTATCCACCAAGTATTGTGTTGCCTTGTTTTTAGACTAGAAACTACCACCTGAAGTTAAGGGGAAGTAACATGTTGATTCTGAAGCACAGCGGAATTTTTTGTAATGCTACTCTACTTTTGTTTTTTTAAGCTGATAATGTGAGGTCATAGGCACAACTGTTTGAAATCGTTTAGGATTGTGTCACCATTCTAAAATGGGTTTTTTAAAAGGTGAAATTAAATCAGATTTATACTTGATTATTAGATTTGGATTAAATTAGAAGAATAATCACTCAAAATTACTCAGTTTGGTTTGAGTTACCATGTAAAGTACTTTTGAAATACTTTACGTAACTAAGATTTGGTATTAAGGTACACAATTCTCTTTCCAAAGTAGGTAATAAAATTTCATATGATACATATGTCACAACATGATTTTCTTTTGAACTAAAAAGTATGTTCTCTGTGTAAGAAGGACATTAGCATTGTTTCAGGAACATACTGGGTTTGGAGGCAAAGTACTAAAATGTTAGACATTTATTTCATTTGATAATTGAAGTTTTCTTTAATGATTAATATAGCAATAAATCTCCACTTATATTTTTAAGGAAGTAGTGCTTTTAAAATTACTTTTAAATTTGAGAACGTTGTCATCAATCATTAATACAAATTTAATTTTTTTTTAGTGGAATCAACTATGAAATTATAATCATAGATGATGGAAGCCCAGATGGAACAAGGGATGTTGCTGAACAGTTGGAGAAGATCTATGGGTCAGACAGAATTGTAAGTTACAGGAACACTTTTCTATCATGAATTGTGATTATGTAGGGGAAAGATGAGAAATAAACAATGCTTAAATTCAGTCCGTTTGTTTAGAAACTGAAAAGATAAAGAGGAACTTAACACATGTGAGATTTAAATGTATTTTCATTGTCCTTAAAATTTTACTTATCTTTGGTATGTTGGGTCAATGGTCATTTTACAGCAGAGAGTGAGCTTTTGGATGAACTCTGTTTATGACTAATTCTGCAGGTCAGTTTTCCTGAAGGGCAAAAATTAAAGCATGATACTGAATTGACAAGGAATATTACAGAATTGGGTTGTAATTGGTAGTGTGTCTGTCTTAATCTTTCTTGCTCCCTTTTGGTAAGTATTCTCATACTTTCAGTAGAGAATACTGCTCGAATTTAAGAGCATGTAGGTAGAAAAAGTTATTGTTTTCTTGTGAAACATAATGACTTCTCAGAGTACTTGGCATTTTTAGTCTGTAGAGTTAGCCTTGTGGAAATAGATTGACTTTCTTAGTCCTAAACTTTAGATTTTCCTACTGTACCTAGAAATTTGTTATTCTACAATAGAAATAACGTAGGCAAATATAGTTTATAATGGCTTCATAAGTTTTATTTTTGGTCACTGATTTGGATTTATAAATGTTTATACTTGTGAGCACTTTTATAATTTATGTTCATAAATTATTGCAGACCAGAGTTTTTCAGTCTTGGCACTGTTGACATGTGGACAGATTAATTCTTTCCTGTGGGGGTTGTCCTGTGCATTGTAGTACGTTCAGCACCATATCTGGACTCTCCTCACCAGATGCCATTAGAAACCCTCCTCTCCACTTGGCAACTGCAGATGTTTGGATATTGTCAGATACTTCCTTTGGGGGAAATATTATCCTTTGCCCCCAGTAGAGAACCACTGGTATAAAGAAGTGTCTTTGAGAACCTTTATTGTTATTTGCTTCAAGAAATTGTAAATTAATCATCATTTAAAGAGAACAGTCACCTGGTCTAATATTCTTGATAAGTCTTAGTAATAGAAATACTTTCCACAACTCATATTTACTTAGAGATGACTATCAGTTGCATGAGGTCTTGATGGCAAGAATTTAAAGGAATTATATTATTCATGTACATGGTAAATCTATAAATTATTTCAGTCTGTCTCACAGATGTGTAACTCATGTCTGTCACACCTAGAGTCTTCTCTGAAAATTTCCTAATGGATAGGAATACAGAAGGAAGTAAAAAGTTAACAAATTTTCAGGCTTCTAGCAGAGACTTTCAGTAGTGCTAGGTTTGAATCTTTGGCCAATAGTTCCCCAGCTTTTCTTTTAGAAGCCCAGGGTGAAGGCCACTGATGAGCAACACTCTGAGTTATGTGCGGCCATTTAATCTGAGACCATCAATATTTTGAATACTTCCGTCATAAAACTTCAGCCTTAGGATGTGATTGATTGATTTTAGGGAATGGTTAATAAACTGACCTTTCAAATTTTGAAACATCATTGTCTTCAAAGACATTTTTCTTATCAACCCAATAAAATTGAAAATGAGAAAAAAGTTTGCATTCACTGTTAAGATTTCCGTCTGCTACCAGATAAAATTCCTTATTCATTTATTACTTTATGTCATTTAAATAAGTTAAACTAGAAAATGACTTAAAAGACAGTATTTGAAATCCTAATCCTGAAGGCAATGGTATTAAAAAAAAAAGTATTAATCCATGCTAGGGGTGACACTTGCTTTTAGTGATATATGTCTGTTTAGTTGGGAAGATGAAGGATTATTGAAACCATGTTAGAATACCTCAGATAAAGAATTCAGCACAGATCCTCTGTCAGCCTTTCAAACTGGCTGAAATGAATCTTTCAGTAAAGAAGCCAAAGAAGATATTTTAAAAATTATGTAGGTGGCGCAACTGAAGCAAGAGGTTAGGTCATTTTCCAAGGTTACACAGCTAGGTAAGACCATAGAGAAATTGGGGGCACTTACTCTGAAGTGTTCACAGAGGTCGGAAACTGTGAAGGACCTTAACTGTTCTGTGTTGAACGCTTCTATTTATTTATTTTTTTAAACGGAGTTTCATCATATTGGTCAGGCTGGTCTCGAAGTCCTGGCATCAGGTGATCTGCTTGCCTCAGCCTCCCAAAATGCTGGGATTACAGGTGTGAGCCACCGTGCCTGGCTTGAATGCTTCTCTTATGTTTGGTTTATGTAGTTTGTTTCATCTCCCAACTTGAGTTCAAATAAAGGCATCTATATTTTGCCATTATTTTCTTCCAGCTTCATTGAGGTATAATTGACAAAGTTATATATATTTAAAGTATACATTGCGATGGTTTAATACACACATGCATTGTGAAATGAATACCACATTTGGGGAATGAGCATGTCCATCATGTCACACAGTTACCCTTGAGAGCGAGCTGACAGTGGTGAGGACAGTTAAGATTTGCTGTCTGCGTATTTCAAGTATATGCTATGATACTATTAACTATAGTCACCATGCTGTATATTAGATTCTCAGAACTTTATCTTATATTTTGTCATTATTTTATAGTTTAATATTTTAAAAACTTGTTCTGATAATAAAATAAAATGTAATATGTGTTTATTATTCTTAAAACATGAAATATAAGGTAAAAAGTTTTGGGCCGAGCATGGTGGCTCGTGCCTGTAATTCCAGCACTTTGGGAGGTCGAGGAGTGAGGAGTTCGAGACCAGCCTGGCCAATGGTGAAACCCCATCTCTAAAAAAAATAATAAAATAAAAAGGTTTGACTACTTAAAAATATTAAACTTCTGTGCTCGCTTGGAACGCTACAGAGAAGATTAGCATGGCCCCTGCACAAGGATGACATGCAAATTTGTGAAGCATTCTGTATTTTTTATAAAAATTATTTTTTTAAAAATTCAACTTCTGTCTATTCCTAAATGCCAAAATATTTCTAACAAGATCAGTACCCCAACCAGATAATTAATAAGACCAGAACTAGAAATGGCCAGTAAACAAGAAAAAAATACTGAGCCTCGCTGATAAGTGAAGATTTACAAAATAGGACAGTATATACTAGCCTTATTAGCTGAAGATTTAATTTTCTCCTTTCTTTTTAACCAGTATTTCTGAGAGTTATTATAGAACAAGTCCACTCAAATGCTGTTGATCCTAGTATAAATTGATACTGTTTTTCTGAAGTGTCATCTGGCAGTAATCTCATGACCCTCAAAAATACTTACACCTTTGTAATAAGTATAAAGTAGTTTATAAAACTGTATATATATTATAATCTCAATTCTGTTTTTTTCAGTAACTTTTTGCAAGATTGTCTATGATAAATAGTTTTACAAAGGTTTTCGTCAAATTCTAGTTTCACATGAAGTATTTTATAAGCAGTTGTGGTAACCATACTTCAAAGAGTATATATGCCTGGCATTCTTGCAAGCACTTTATATGAATCTATTTCCTTGTTCCTCATGAAAGCCATGTGAGATAGGGGGCTCTGTCTTGCCTCTTTATATTCTCAAGGCCATATGGCAAATGAGTAGTGGCCAGGATTCAAACCCAGACATTGTGGTTCCAGAGTTCATCTTCCTATCTGCAATGCTATCCTGCCTCACACAGAAAGGGGCCATCAGATTGATGTGGAGAGGCAGAAAAGGATCGGGGAAGGTGGACAGGTGGAATTAAGAGTTTGAAAGTAAAGCATACCAAATAGAAACAGTGTGAATTTCCTACATAAGAAATAAACAAGCACATTCTTGTAAAATATAAATATTACCAGTAAACCCAAAGTTGCCTTTGATGAACATTTTCTTTCTTTCTTTTTTTGTTGGAGTCTTGCTCTGTCGCCCAGGCTGGAGTGCAGTGGAGCAATCTCAGCTTACTGTAAACTCAGCGTCCTGGGTTCAAGCAGTTCTCCTGCCTCAGCCTCCTGAGTAGCTGGGATTACAGACCTGCACCACCATGCTAGCTATTTTTAGTATTTTTAGTAGAGACAGTCTTTCATCATGTTGGTCAGGCTGGCCTTGAACTCCTGACTTGAGGTGATCTGCCCACCTCAGCTTCCCAAAGTGCTGGGATTACGGGCATGAGCCACTGTGCCTGGCCTGATGAACATTTTCTAATAGGTATCCCATTCCTTTGCCCAGGGGAGACCCAGGTCAACAGTTTGATGTGGTTTTTTTTTGTGTGTGCATATGTGTGTGTTTATTTGTAGAACTAGGTAGTGTGGTGGTCTTGTTTTTTAAAACATAACTGTCATCTTCCTATATCATCATTACTTCTATTTGAAGGTCTTTTGTCATCACCTTATTTCTCTTAATTGCTCCATAGTATTGTAATATTTTATATAAACCTTTGAGCATTCTGAAAATTTTAAGTATTGTAGTCTCTCTTGTCCATGGTTTTGCTTTCCATGGTTTGTTACCTGCAGTCTGAAAAGAGGTAGGTACGGTACAGAAGATATTTTGCGTTAGACCAAGTTCACATAACTTTTATTAAAATATATTATTGTTATTGTTTTATTTTATTATTAGGTATTCTTAATCTCTTATTGTGCCTAATTTATAAATTAAACTGTAATAGGTATGTATATATAAGAAAAAGTATATATGAGGTTTGGTACTTTTGGAGATTTCAGGCATCCCTTAGAGGTCTTAAAAAGTAGTGGGTGTGCAACTATAAAAAAGTTTTGTTTGTTTTTTGAGTTTCACTCTGTCACCCAGGCTGGAGTGCTGTGGCGCGATCTTGGCTCATTGCAACCTCTACTTCCCAGGTTCAAGTGATTGTCCTACCTCAGCCTTCTGAATAGATGGGATTACAGGAGTGCACCACTATGCCTGGCTGATTTTGTATTTTTGGTAGAGACAGGGTCTCACCACGGTGGCCAAGCTGGTCTCTAACTCATGACCTCAAATGATTTACCTGCCTCGGCCTCCCAAACTGCTGGGATTACGTAAAGGAGTGAGCCACTGCATCTAGTGAAAGTTACCTTTTTTTAAAAGAAAGATTTTCTACCTGAAACAGTTATAGAAAATCTCAGATGAGCTTTTTAAGATTTGCTTTTTCAGGGCAGATAACAGATGGGGTCAGTATTTTGTCAGAAACTATTCATATAAAATCTAGCTGTGATCTGGTAGATCCTGTTTGATTTTTTTCAGTGACTTGAAATTATCATAGATGCTTATTTGAATGTCTTTTCTCCCTGTAAACTCTTACCAGACAGCAGTGTATTTTATCCATCTTTATGCAAGATGTACTTTGCTATAGATGTAAATTGTGACTTAAAAAATTTTAAATGTGGGATAGTGGAGTAATAGTGTAGAGGACTTTTTTTTTTTTTTTTTTTTTTTTTTAGCAGTTAGAGTTAAATTATTAGCTTAAAATAGCCTAAGATTTGTCACTGTAAGATGGTTTTTGTAAGTCTCATGGTAATGATAGAGGAAAAGTCTAAAGTAGATTCACAAAAGATAAAATGTAAGGAATCAAAGGTAACACTAGAGAAAATAACTTAATCATAACCATAAAGGAAAGAGGAAACAGAAGCAAAAGAGCTACAAAACAACTAGAAGCAATTAACAAAATGGTCGTAGTAAGTTCTTACATGTCAGTGATTACCATGGATATAAAGGGATTAAATTATCTAAAGACCTAGAGTGACTGAGTGGATTTTTCTAAAGAGATCCAACTATATGCTGCCTACCAAAGACTTGACTGGTAAGGACACACATAGACTGAAAGTGAAGGGATAGAAGAAGACATTCTATGCCAATAGAAACCTGTAACAGATTGCACGTAGTGAGAAAAAAAATTCGTCCTGCTATAATTGAATTGAAAATGCTTTGTTGAGAGATTTGCAGTCAGAGGCAACCTGTTTCTATACCTGCACGTAAAGACGGGAGCAGACAGACAAGACGCTCACTAATGAGTCGACCCGAATCCTGTACCTCAGAACCGTAAGGCAGAGTGAGAACTGTGGCGTTCGGCTTTTTCAGTGTCCAGCTGAGAGGAAAAGGCTAAACAATAAAGTCAAGGTCCAACTATTAAGCAAAAAGGTTTAGAAGGACTAGACTAAGTAATTGACGAGTAGTAAGAAAAGAGAAAGAATTTAACCTTTTTATCAGGCATATGACATGTCCTTAGACCAGTAGAGGTCAAGCAAGCATAAGGTCAAGGTAAGTTGGTAGAGGAAGAGTGACATTAGTGTTCAAAACCCAAGGGAATTGAGAGAACAAACATCAGATTTCCCAACAAGGTATGAAGTAGTGAGTTAAGTCCTACGTTTTTCTAGGAAGGAATCAATAGGTTTAAAAGGAAAACCACATAATAGATGTAAGGACATATTTAAAATAGAGTCAATGTCACCAGGAAAAAAAAAAAGTTTAAAATTTTGATTGTAGGGTTGGGTTAAAGAATGTTGTTTTTCCTTAGAAGCTGTGTTAAACTATTTGGTTTGTTACCAAATGCTTTTTTTTTTTTCTTTTGGCAAAAAAAATATTAGGCATACTCTGCTTTAAGTTCTAATAAGTGCTACTATATTTCTATTAAAGTGAGTATGCACTTTTGAATAAAGTAAGATTTAACATAATAAGATTTTTGTTTCTTTGTGTAAAATGCTATTTCTTATTCCTACAGCTTCTAAGACCACGAGAGAAAAAGTTGGGACTAGGTAAGTAGTGGCACTTCTAATCGCTCATACCTGCTATTTGCCTGGTGAGATGATCCAGTGTGTGTTTTCGCAGTTTGGAATAGGGCCAAAATACAGTAACACCCTGTAGTAGTTTTTAATGATCTTAATGACTTTTAAATGGTATAACTTGGGATACCTGCATAAGTCAAGGCCCACTCAGGAAAACAGAAACCACTGTAAGTCTTTTCAGTGCAGGGAATATAATACGGAGTCTCTGGTTACACCAGTGAAGGAATTCCTGAGAAACCAAATGAAACAGTGAGGCTAAAACAAGATTAGTAATAGCTGGAGGTCACTGCCACTCCTAGGGATGGAGCAACAGTGGGAAAAGATGTTTTTAGAGCCCAAGAACCTGGACTGCCCAGAGGGAGCTAGAATGATGGGTTGGGGGCTGCCTGGCAGGAGCTAGAACTGTGAGAAATTCCCAGTCAGAGGTGGGAGGGAAAGTAAAATAGGGAGGACGTGGACTAGACTTGGACTTTTCCCTTCTCTTCTCCCACCTGTCTTCACCTGTCCGTCCCAAAGGTGTTTAGCAGCTAGTTGACAAGATAATCTGGAAAATGTAGTTCACTACAGTATAGCACAGAGTAGGGAAGGGCCAGAGAATGGGTCTGAGGGCAAACATCTTGGACCAGCACGCTGCAAACCTAGGAACATTCTTTAAGTTACAAGTTTAAAAAGCGATTTTTTATTTAAGGCCTGGTGCAGTGGCTCACACCTGTTATCTCAGCACTTTGGGAGGCCGAGGCGGGTGGATCACAAGGTCAAGAGATCGAGACCATCCTGGCCAACATGGTGAAACCCCATCTCTACTAAAAATACAAAACTTAGTTGGGCATGGTGGTGTATGACTGTAATCCTAGCTACTTGGGAGGCTGAGGCAGGAGAATCGCTTGAACCCGAGAGGTGGAGGTTGCAGTGGGCCGAGATCATGCCATTGTACTCCAGCCTGGTGACAGAGTGAGACTCCGTCTCAAAAAAAAAGTTATTATTTATTTTTAAAGAGATTTCCCAGCTTTTAAACATACAGCATTATTGAAAAGCTCATATGAGCTCGGTAATTCTGAGATGAAACTCTGCCTTTAATTCTGCTGTTGGTCACAGTTGCCGTGTTGAATATGCATGGAGACAGCACAGTTCTTAACTGGAGTCTGTTATCCTGAAGACCATCAATTCCCAAGCATCATCAGATGTTCTCAGCATCTAAACCCAGAAGATTCTTTGGGATTAAAAAAAAAAATCTGAAAACTGCCATAAAACCAAAAAGTGTAGTGTACATATTCACTTCTTTTTTTCTTTTCTTTTTCTTTTTTCTTTGAGACAGAGTCTTGCTCTGATGCCCAGGCTAGAGTGCAGTGGCACAATCTTGGCTCACTGCAACCTCTGCCTCCTGGGTTCAAGTGATTCTTGTGAGTTGGTCTTCTGAGTAGCTGGAATTACAGGTGTGTACCACCATGCCTAGCTAATTTTTTTTTTTTTTAAAGATGGGGTTTTACCATGTTGATCAGGCTGGTCTTGAACTCCCAACCTCAGGTGATCCGCCCGCCTTGGCCTCCAAAGTGTTTGGATTACAGGCATAAGCCACTACACCTGGCCTAATTTTTTGTATTTTTAGTAGAGATGAGGTTTCACCATGTTGGGCCAGGCTGGTCTTGAACTCCTGAGCTCAAGTGATTCCCCCGCCTCAGCCTCCCAAAGTGCTGGGATTACACACATGAGCCACCACACCTGGCCAATATTCACTACTTAGCAAAATAAGTTAGAATAGCTCAGCCTTGCTCATAAGACACTTGTGAGGGGTCTGGGCTAGAGAATGCAGGAATCCCCAAGTCCTGCTCCTGGCCAGTTAGCCTACCCTACCAAGTCCCTGTGGGACTTTGAGGCATGGAGCTGGCTAAGTAATTGTCAGCTAGGCCTTTGGCCCTAAATACTGGAGGAGGGGTCTAGCATACCAGTGTAAAAGACACTCAGTGTGTAGTTTTTGCGGAAATGGACTTAGTGCTAGAAAAAGCAGAAGCAGGAAGCCTTGTTAGGTAGCCATCTGAGCATCAGAAGGTGGAGAAGAAAAAGGGAATTGAGATGTTTTGGATAGAGAATCAATAGGACTTAATTATAGTTTAGAAGTTAGGTTAAAGGCAGGAAATCAAGAATCATCTCTAGACCTGTGGATGGAGCAGTTGGATAGTTGGTGCTGACTTATAAATGTGGAGCTCTAAGAAGAGGTCTAACCTCTTCAGTGTCTTAGGGGGACTCGAAGGAAACTCCAGATGGGTTTTTTAAAGCATGAGAATGTGTAATCGTTATGTAACCTCAGACTTTTGAACTTATAAACTCTTTTCTTTGCTAAACTGAAATAGAGGTATGATCTCTCCTGTTAAATTGACATCTGAATGGAGGTGTGTGGCCAGCTACCGTCTTGATTATATATGTAATATAGGTGAACCTATGTACTTAAGGTGAAAAATACCAATTAATTAATACCACTTTTAGAGGACTAATGTGTGCTTTTCAGCTGCTAAACAGTTTCCTCCATGTTCAAATGTATATGTAAAGATTTCTGTTGGTTTTCTTGAATGGATATATTTTCATTTTTAGGAACTGCATATATTCATGGAATGAAACATGCCACAGGAAACTACATAATTATTATGGATGCTGATCTCTCACACCATGTAAGTGGTAAATTTCTTTTATTAGCTATTTATGATAGCCTTAGCCTATTTTACTGACTTGCTATTTATTCTTTCCAAATTTCAGCCAAAATTTATTCCTGAATTCATTAGGTAGGTACTATTTCTAATATTTGAGAGAAATATTACTGAAATAATTTATCTTACTGGCTTTGGGCATATTTTCATTTTTTAATTAATCAAAAATACGCTGTTTTTTTCTGTAAAAAATACAACAAAAGCTTGGGAGGTCAAGGCAGGAGCGTTTCTTGAAGTCAGCAGTTTGAGACCAACGTGGGCAACTAAAGAAGGCCTTGTCGCTGTAGAAAAACTGGCACGTGCCTGTAGTCCTGGCTACTCGGGAGTCTCAGGTGGGAGGATCAGTTGAGCCCAGGACTTCAAGGCTGCAGTGAGCTATGGTCATGCCACTGCACTCTAGTCTTGGTGACCCTGAGACACAGCGAAACCCTGTCTTTAAAATATTTATCTATATAGATAGTAGACACACATGCAACACACATTTCAGAGACTAAATGATGTATTTTAGGAGTCCTGAGGAGCAAATCAACAGGTACTTCCTTTGTTATCTGAATTCCTCAGACCACAGAAAAAGATGGAAGATGGCTTCTCTGATAAATGGAATGAAGCCTTGAGTTACTAGAGTAAAACACCATGAACAAATAGAGTTTATTCCAGGAAGGCCAAAATGGCTCATTATTGGTAATCACGCAATATAATTCATTTATCATGTTAACAAAGAAAGTAGCGTGATTAAGCCTGTCGATGTTAAAGGAGATATTTACTACCATTTTCTAGTTAAAACTTAAGAATAGAAGGAAATGTCTTTAAGCATTATAAAAATAACCCAGTCCTAATATAAATATCACATCAATAGTGAAGTGCTGAGTCATTTCTGATAAATTAAGATAGGCATGCTAACCATGATTAAACAGGGAAATGTTAATACACAGTAAGACAAGAATGTAGTTAAGTATTGATAAAGTATACATAATTATATTTATTTGCAGGCAATACTACATTTATTTGCAAATACATTTATTTGCACAATTTATTGGCAGGCAATAAAATTACATTCTTAGAAAGCTCGAAAGAGCACCAAAGTTCTGTGATTTTGGAAGCTATTCTGAGTTTAAGCTAGATACACAAAAATAGAGTCAGATTATTATCCCTCCAGTTTAGAATAGTTCCAGAGTTCCCACCAGCATCTAGGAAAACTCCAGGCTCCTTCCTTTGTCCCTCAAGCCCCTATGTGTTGGCTCCTGCCTCCCTTTCGGACCGCTGCCTTGCACCCCTTCCTTTTTGCTTTCCATGCCATAAGCATGCTTCTGAGCTCACAGAGTTGTTTTCCTTTGCTTGAAATTCTGTTTCCATGCTCCTTGATGACCATCTGCTGCTCCTCCTTCAATCTCTGCATAAAGTCACCTTAGACCTTTTTTGCTTATATCTCTAGTACAAAAAAGCCTCTTTAACCTGATAAAGAAATGGAACCAGTAGAGTAGAAAATGGGCAAAAAGCCAGGCGTGGTGGTGCATGCCTGTAGTCCCAGCTACTCGGAGGCTAAGGCTGGAGGATCGCTTGAGTCCAGGAGTTCTGGGCTGTAGTGTGCTATGCTGATCAGGTGTCCATACTCAGTTCAGCATCAATATGGTGATCTCCTGGGAGCGGGGGACCACCATGTTGCCTAAGGAGGGTTGAACTGGCCCAGGTTGGAAATGGAACAGGTCAAAACTCCCATGCTGAGCAGTAGTGGGATCTCGTGCCTATGAATAGCCACTGTACTCCAGCCTGGGCAACACAGCAGACCCCATCTTAAAAAATAATAATAATTTAAAAAAGGAAAAATGGGCAAAAAGCTACAAGCAGACCAACTATAGCAGAAATCCAAATGGCTAATGAACAAAAGAAGGCGTTCTTCCTGGAATGTAGTCAAGGAAATAAATGCAAATTAAAATAACTGTGTTGCCATTTTTTTATCCATTAGTTTATCAAAATCAAAAACTTAGAGCAGTAATATCCAGTGCCAATACGGTTGTAAAAAATGGACACACAAATATTGCTGAAGGAAGTATAAGTTGCTATAACCTTTTTGGAAAATATGTGTTCGAATTTGGAAAAATATGTGTTAGAATTAAATATGCATTAGAATTAAAAATACTCAGGCTTCGTTTGGGCAATTCCAGTATATTCCATTTTGGGGTATCTAAGCAGTGTCATATGCATTTGTAAGAATGTTTATTGTAGCACTATTTGTTGTGGTTGAGAGGGTGAGGCATCATGGAAAAACCACAGAAGTGTGTGAGTTGAAAAGTCATGGAGTATTTTTGCAATTATTAAAAAGAATGGACAAGAGCTCTCTTGACCTGTAGAGGTGTCTGTGATTCCATGATTTGCATTTTTTTTATTTGTTTAGAGATGGATTCTCGCTTTGTTACCCAGGCTGGAGTGCAGTGGTTCAGTCTCACTCCAATCTTCTCGGTTCAAGCAATTCTTGTGCCTCAGACTTCAGAGTAGCTGGGATTACAGACACTTGCCACCACGCCTGGCTAATTTTTATATTTTTAGCAAAGTCAGGGTTTCACCATGTTGGCCAGGCTAGTCTCAAACTCCTGACCTCAAGTGATCCACCTGCGTCAGCCTCCCAGAGTGCTGGGATTACAGGTATGAGCCACCTCATCTGACCCCATGATTTGTATTGTTAACTGACAAAAACAAGTCACAAAATATACTTTTTTGCATTCCAATTTTGTAAATGCAACCAAAAATCCTTGGGATGTATGTGTGTGTTTATCTTTCTATAGGCAAAGAAAAGTTTGGTGGGACATCGGGCTGTTTTTAGTATTACTTGCTTCAGTGAAGGCAAGAACAGAATGGAAAGTATTAGGAAAATTAATTTTATTTATTTATTTATTTTTAAGACGGGGTTTCACCATATTGGTCAGGCTGGTCGGTCTCGAACTCCTGACCGCAGGTGATCTGCCCGCCTCAGCCTCCCACAGTGTTGGGATTACAGGTGTGAGCCACCGTGCCTGGCTGGAAAATTAATTTTAATTTTAGAGACAAGGTCACCCAGGCTGGAGTACAGTGGCACAATCACAGATCATTGCAACCTCAACCTCCCTGGATCAAGCGATCCTCGCATTGCAGTTTCTAAAATAGCTGAAACTAAAGGCATGCGTCACCATGCCTGACAATTTTTTTTTTTTTTTCCTTTTGAGATGGAGTCTCACTCTGTTGCCCAGGCTGGAGTGCAGTGGTGGGATCTTGGTTCACTATAACCTCCACCTCCCAGCTTCCAGCAATTCTCTGCTTCAGCCTCCCAAGTAGCTAGGATTACAGGCGCCCACCACCATGCCCAGCTAATTTTTGTGTTTTTAGTAGAGATGGTGTTTAACCTTTGGTAGAAATGGTTTCATTCAGCTGGTCTTGAACTCCTGACCTCATGATCTACCCACCTCGACCTCCCAAAGTGCTGGGATTACAAGCATGAGCCATCCTGCCCAACTTGTGCCAGCATCTCTTAAAAGTTTTGTTTGTGTAGCTCATGAAAATGGCTGTTGAAAGTGCAATGACTTTCTAATAGACAGCTAATTTATTCTACAGGAAGCAAAAGGAGGGTAATTTTGATATTGTCTCTGGAACTCGCTACAAAGGAAATGGAGGTGTATATGGCTGGGATTTGAAAAGAAAAATAATCAGGTAGGTACATGTGTTATGACTTCTTTGTTAGTATAACTACTGGAAATATCTTCACAGCAAATATTAACTACCATGCTGCCTGGGATTTGTGGGATCAGGTTACAACTTCCAGTAGATATTCCCAGATAGTTTCTTAGAGTTTTTCTTGTGATTAAAACCTGGATGTTTTTTATTAAGGAAAAATCAGCATAAACCTTTGGACCTTTGGTAGAAGTGGTTTCATTCAGCAAAAGTTACTATACTGGACCTTCGATTTTAATTTACGTAACCAGTTCCATACTTTTAGACTCAATATGTAGAGTGTCACCCCCATAATTATAGTGTTATTTTAATAAAAATTGATTTCAGACAGACCTGAGTTAAAATCCTGTTTGTGTCATTTAATTGTGTTACCGTGCATGTTTTACCTTTTTTTAAATTTAAGACAGAGTCTCATTCCGTTGCCCAGACTGGAGTGCAACGGCACAGTCTCAGCTCACTGCAACCTTTGCCTCCCGGGCTCAAGTGATTCTCCTGTCTCAGCCTCCTAAGTAGCTAGGACTACGGACATACGCCACCCTGCCTAGCTAATTTTTGTATTTTTTGTAGAGATGGGGTTTCACCACCTTGCCCAGGTTGCTCTCGAACTCCTGAGCTCAGGTGAGCCACCTGCCTCCGTTTCCCAGGTAGCTGGAACTACAGGCATGCACTACCACGCCCAGCTTTTATATATAAATATATATATATATATATATATATATATATATATATATATATAGAGAGAGAGAGAGAGAGAGAGAGAGAGAGAGAGAGAGAGTGTGAGTGTGTGTAGTGATGGAGTTTTGCCATGTTGCCCAGGCTGGTCACTCCTGGGCTCAAATGATCCACCCATCTCGACCTCCCAAAGTGCTGGGATTGCAGGTATGAGCCACTGCTTCTAGCCAGATCACCTTTCATTGACTAAAAATTTCTCTTTTGGTCTAGATAAATAACATTTTTGTGAAATTAATGTTACATTTATGAAATGAGCATAGCATTTTACTACTCTGTTCTTTGATGTGTTGCTTTTGTATATAAATTATATTTTATAAAGAAAATCTGATTGTTTTGTTTGGCAGCCGTGGGGCCAATTTTTTAACTCAGATTTTGCTGAGACCAGGAGCATCTGATTTAACAGGAAGTTTCAGGTACAGTGAAAATTTACACTATTTATATATAACTTATTGGCTAGCTAGCTTTCTTTACAATGGATATTTTTAAGAGATACTTTACATTTCCACCTTGTTTTTATTCTGGGATACTAAAAAGGCAGTCTAAATTCCTAGAAGTTGTGAATGAAGCCTAAACATCTTAAGGAGACATACTGTGCTTTTCTTTTAAAAAGTTGAGGCCAGGTGCGGTGGCTCACGTCTGTAATCCCATCACTTTGGGAGGCCAAAGTGGGTGGATCACCTGAGGACGGGAGTTTGAGACCAGTCTGACCAACATGGAGAAATCCCATCTCTACTAAAAACACAAAAATTAGCCGGGCATGGTAGTGCCTACCTGTAATCCCAGCTAGTTGGGAGGCTGAGGTAGAAGAATCGCTTGAACCCGGGAGGCGGAGGTTGCGGCAAGCTGAGATGCCATTGCACTCCAGCCTGGGCAACACAAGCGAAACTTCATCTCAAAAAAAAAAAAAAAAAAAAGTTTAAGGCAGGGGTTTTGTGTGCTTGTTAATGTTAGTATTAAGGCTCAACCGCTCTTTGAAACATTGCTATTACTGATAAATCTGTTCCAGAGAACAGCACATATTTCAGTAATTTTCTGCATTTCATATGAATACTTAAAGCATTGTCCACAGAAAAGGTTAAACTCTTTTAATATTTATGTAGAGCTCTCTCAGTTACCTTGTTCCCCATATGTTTAAGAAATGTTTTTTGTTGTTTAATTTTGTCAAAGCTTTTGTCCCTCAGAGTTTTGTGTGTCTGTTTCTGGGTGTATGGGGTGGCATTCTAGATTTGCTGTAGTAGATGTGAGCTGCTTTGTGTGACTGACCACAGCAAATGACAAAACTTGCCAGACTTTTTTTTTTTTTTTTTTGGACTCTGGAACTATAAAATGCTCCTGCATCTACTTCAGTGGCCTCAAGCCCCCCATAGATTACTTAATAATTTATATTAGTTGATACTTATTTTTTCCTTTGCTCACTGCAGGAAAATCTACATTTTTAGATGTGATAATACACACACACACACACACACACACACACACGGAGCTGGCTGTTGACAGTCAAATAAAAAGAAAAATGAAGCCTCTAGAACTAAAACACAAATAGACTGGAGAGGTGAACTTGGGGATGAAAGACAGGGGAGGATATACCCTAAGGCAAGAGGCATTTGTGATCTAATTAAGATCCCTGGTTGTGTGTTGGTGGTAGCTGGTGGATGGGCAGTGGCTTGCATCTGTAATCGCAGCACTTTGGGAGGCCGAGGCATGTGGTTCAGTTGAGGTCAGGAGTTTAAGACCAGCCTGGACAACATGGTGAAACCCCATCTCTACTAAAAATAAAAAACTTAGCCTGGTGTGGTGGCATGTGCTTGTAGTCCCAGCTACTTCAGAGGCTGAGGCAGGAGAATCGCTTGAGATCTGGAGGCAGAGGTTGCAGTGAGCCAAGATTGCGCCACTGCACTCCAGCCTGGTGACAGAGCAAGACTCTCTGTCAAAAAAAAAGATCTCTGATTGCCATGTGGCAACAATGCAAAGAATAGTGGCACTCACAAAATCTCTGTACAGAGGGAAGAGCCATTGTGTATTTCACAGGCCACAGTTTTGATGGGTTTGAATAAAAACCCACGGTAACTGGTTGTGGAGGTAAGAGGCTGTGAAGGAAAGCACAGCAGGGAGAGGAATGGGGTGAGGGTGTTTTGCTGCATCAGAACTGTACAAAGATTAATGGAGGGGATGGGGTTCTGGATTTGATGTATTTGAGAGCAGTGATTAGCTGTGTTCTGTACAAGTGACAGAGTGGCCAAACAGACAAAAGTGAGCCTGTTAAGTGCATAATTTTTAAATAGTTAAATCTCATTGTCTTCTCATAAGAGTGGTGGCTTCTTAAATACATCATTAAAGTTCGGTTGCCATTAGACAAAACTCATTTTTTCATTAAATCCCTAGATTTAGGAAGCAGGTGCTTTTTACAAAATAAGAAAAGGAATCTTACAAGGTCTATAATATAAGCCATTTAATAGCATAGATCACCTTGATCCTAATCCTATTCATAGAATTATATGGCTTCATGTAACATTTTACTCTTTTTTTGAGATGGAATCTCCCTCTGTTGTCCATGCTGGAGTGCAGTGGCACGATCTCAGCTCACTCCAACCTCCATCTCCCAGGTTCAAGCGATTCTCCTGCCTCAGCCTCCTGAGTAGCTAGGGATTACAGATACACAACACCATGCCCGGCTAATTTTTGTAGTTATAGTAGAGACAGGGTTTCATCATGTTGGTCAGGCCGGTCTCAAACCCTTGACCTCAGATGATCTGCCCGCCTTGGTCTCCCAAAGTGCTGGGATTACAGCTATTAGCCACTGTGCCTGGCATAACATTTTACTTTACCAGCTACAATCTTAAAAGATATGGGGATGGGGAAGAGGGAGGTGGCAGTGAAAATAAATATCTTTAAAAATGATTCTTAACGAGAATAAAGCAACTCGTAAAGTCAGGAAATATTTTGTAGTCTAATCCCAATTTTAAAAGTAATGCTAGCCGGGCGCGGTGGCTCAAGCCTGTAATCCCAGCACTTTGGGAGGCTGAGGCGGGTGGATCACGAGGTCGAGAGATCGAGACCATCCTGGTCAACATGGTGAAACCCCGTCTCTACTAAAGATACAAAAAAATTAGCTGGGCATGGTGGCATGAGCCTGTAATCCCAGCTGCTCAGGAGGCTGAGGCAGGAGAATTGCCTGAGCCCAGGAGGCGGAGGTTGCGGTGAGCCGAGATCGCGCCATTGCACTCCAGCCTGGGTAACAAGAGCGAAACTCCGTCTCAAAAAAAAAAAAAAAAAGTAATGCTGGCTGGATATGGTGGCTTACACCTGTAATCCCAGCACTTTGGGAGGCCAAGGATGGAGGGTTGCTTGAGCCCAGGAGTTCAAGACCCCAGCTCTGGCAACATAGTGAGACTCTATCTTTACAAAAACTAAAAAAATAAATTAGCCGGGCATGGTGGCAGGTGGCTGTAGACCCAGCTACTTGGGAGGCTACAGTAGCAGGAGGATCTTTTGAGCCTGGAAAATGAGGCTGTAGTGAGCCATGGGTTTGCCACTATACTCTAGGCAACATAGTGAGATCCTGTCTCTCAAAATACAAATACATAAATAAAGGTAATGCAAAAGCATTGGCCCATTGTAGTTCTTCCCACCCCATAATCCCAGTGCTCCCTTCCCTACCTAACAGCATCTGACATATTATATATGTTTATTTAGTTTTTAAAAAGTTCACTCTATACAGCAAAACATTAAAAAGTATCTGAAACCTGATATGTTGGTCAATAAATGTTTGTTACTGAATAAATATTAATACCATCAAGATTATCCTCTCTTCATATTTATTCCAAATTTATTCCTCTGAATCCTTAAGGAGACTGTGTGGATAAAGGAGTGCACACACTAAGCTCCGTTGGGGTTCTTCTTTTTTTTTTTTTTGAGACGGAGTTTCACTCTTGTTACCCAGGCTGGAGTGCAATGGCGCGATCTCGGCTCACCTCCACCTCCTGGGTTCAGGCAATTCTCCTGCCTCAGCCTCCTGAGTAGCTGGGATTACAGGCACGTGCCACCATGCCCAGCTAATTTTTTTGTATTTTTTTGTATTTTTAGTAGAGACGGGGTTTCACCATGTTGACCAGGATGGTCTCGATCACTTGACTTCGTGATCCACCCGCCTCGGCCTCCCAAAGTGCTGGGATTACAGGCTTGAGCCACCGCGCCCGGTCGTTGCGGTTCTTCTAAGGGCTGTGTTGTCCTATACTCACTTCACAGTCAAAAGATACTGTCACCTTAGAATTCTGAGGGGAAAAAATGTGGATTCAAGGTGAAACCCTGAGGCACAGTAGGTCCAGATGGCCTTAACTTTGAAAAGAACAAAGTTTCACCAAACTATCTCCTAGTTTTCTCCCCTCTCCCCACAAAAAAAGGTAGAAATTGCTGCCTCCCTACTGAGACACTGATCTTTTTTTAAAAAAAAAAAAAAAAAAAAAAGTTAGTGTCTGTGACTCTGAAAATAGGGAGCTCCCTGCTATTTAGTTACAGAAGAAAGTGCTTGGGTTTACCCACTGGACAGCCCAACTCCACTGTCTCACCTTGTAAATCTGGTATTTGGCCTGCAGTCCATCTCAAGTTAGGCTGCACATTCACTTGCTGTTAAGTAAGTGTCTAACTGACCTCAGTTGGTGATAGGTGAATCCCACCAGGATTTTTTCTATCCTTTGATGCAGGTGTCCCCAAACTACGGCCCCTTAGGCCGCATTCAGCCCCCTGAGGCCATTTTCCGGCCCCCCGCCGCACTTCAGGAAGGGGCACCTCTTTCATTAGTGGTCAGTGAGAGGAGCACAGTATGTGGCAGCCCTCCAACGGTCTGAGGGACAGTGAACTGGCCCCCTGTGTAAAAAGTTTGGGGACGCCTGCTGTGATGTCTAGTTCCTGTTTTAACCTAGCTTCCCAAGCTCATCCTAGAGGGACTTAGTTTATCCTAGGGAATTTATAAAGAAAATCATGAGAAATCAAAACTTACCATAAACATTTATTGGGAAATGACTGTTAATTATGAGGTTCTTTTTTGTTTTCTTTTATATATTGTTGCTTCATCATCATTTGTCCACTCTGTTGTTTCAATGTTTAGAACAGTTTCTTTCAACTTTAAATTTTAAGGAAATCTTAAATAATGGATGCTTCTGCATCAAATGATGTGTTTTACTATATTTCAGTAATTTCTGATAGTATGATGGGAAAATAATTCTCTAAAAGATACTGAGAATTCATTTTCAAAATTATTCTAAGTTATTTAGCAAATATTTAATGGCCTTTCTTGCTTAGGACAAATGTATCATAATCATCAACTTTGTGAGCTTTTCTGCTTACCAATGGCCAGTGGAAGTTTTAGGCTTTATACATACCAGTGAACTCTTTGAAAGGTCAAGATACATGTAGGCAAGTTTATTTATTCAGAAGTTGATATATATATATTTTTTTTCTGATTTCTTACAGATTATACCGAAAAGAAGTTCTAGAGAAATTAATAGAAAAATGTGTTTCTAAAGGCTATGTCTTCCAGATGGAGATGATTGTTCGGGCAAGACAGTTGAATTATACTATTGGCGAGGTATGCAACTGATGCTAAATAGTATGTCATGTTCCTGGTAAAGGAGTGGTAAAGTTTACACTTTTTGTAATAAAAAGTTTTAACTTTCATAACTGCTAAATTGTGGAGGTCTTCTGAATGTTTAGAATGTTCATGCACAAAGGGTAAAAATTCACATTACCACATTTGAACAATAAGATTTAAAACATTAACAGTTAGCATTCTCTTTTAAATAATGGAAAGTTCCTGGTACTTTCTCACTCTTAGCCTTCCTTCTAACTGGTCAGCATTATGGACTGAATCTCTCTGCTTTTCCTTTTGCCACAGCCAGTGTCCACCATACTTTAAAATGAATGATGAATCCCATATGTCCATTTCCTGTAAGTGAAGACCAGGAATTATAGAGTCAAGGGAGTGGTGATCTGTAATACTTAGGGCTAGATAGTGAGCTGTTAGGGTAGGGAAGACTGTCCTCATTTGCTAGTAAAACTCTTATTCATAGCAAGAAAATAGCTAACGTGAAATGTCACTTCTCCCGTGGAAGTTGCAAGATGTTTTACTTAATGCTAAGCTGTTATAGCTAAATTTGACAAACAACTGAAAAATCTAAGCAAAAGGCCATTTTACTTTTGGAGTATAATTTTTCTTTGAAATGCAAACTGAAACTTGAGTAAACCAAGGTAATACCTAGGATCAATGCTTTTTAAACAGTTGTAGATTGGTTCATATGACCTATCTTTAGATGATGCATTTAATTTTAAAGACTTGGAGGTACACATAGTTGCTTTAAGAATCCCCTAATTTTATACCTACTTTAAGGACTTCTGTTGTAGGACTAGTCCTATTTCTGTTGTGTTGGTAATATGGTATACCTGCTAAGCTACCTAATTTTTTTTGAAGACTGACTTCAATGTATTTTTTTTTTTTTTAACTAGGTTCCAATATCATTTGTGGATCGTGTTTATGGTGAATCCAAGTTGGGAGGAAATGAAATAGTATCTTTCTTGAGAGGATTACTGACACTTTTTGCTACTACATAAAAGAAAGATAATTATTTATACTTATGTTCATTTCAATTTAAACATGAAAGAAGCCTGGTTACTGATTTTGATAAAATGTACTCTTAAAGTATAAACCATAAGGTAAGGTAAACTTCACACATCTTTTTATGAAGAACTTCTATTTTATATTTCAGATTAAGTAATTTTAAAGTTGCTGGCCTAATGAGCAATGCTCTCAATTTTCATTTACATTTTGCTGTATTAAGACCTATAAATAAATATATATGGTTTTTTTGCATAATGTATTGCTGCTTTCATTAGAGTATGTGAATGTAGAATTTTTTACATGGAGAATAATTTGAAATATTCTTTAAAAATACTGGAATCATAAATCTTTATACCTAATAGATGTCAGAAGTAAGATAATGTTAACTGATGAAATGTTTATGGCTATATCATGGCTGTATCTGTATGATCTGTAAAAGAAATACACACCTCTGCCCTTTCCTTAAAAACGCATCTCAAATTTCTTAAACTAGAAAGTACATTCAGAGCAGACTTTTAGAATTAAATTCTTTTCAGCTGTTGAATTGATGAAGCATTTCATCTACCAAAGCAAGTCTATTTAAAATGCATGTTGTGAATTGAGAAACGATTTGGCAGCAGGTGACTACACAGCCATATTTTTCTCTTTTGAGCAATAACCTCCATCAGTAGGAAAAGTATCAATGGCACTGAGGCAGAAACCGCTGCTACAGTGATTCTTAGACATCTCACTGAAGTATGTAACAATTGATTTCTCTCTCTCTCTCTTTTTTTTTTAAGATGGAGTCCTACTCTGTCTCCCAGGCTAGAGTGCAGTGGCGCGATCTCGGCTTACTGCAACCTCCGCCTCTTGGGTTCAAGTGATTCTCCTGCCTCAGCCTCCCAAGTAGCTGGGATTACAGTCATACACCACCACGCCCTGCTAACTTTTTTTCTTTTTTCCTTTTTCTTTTTTTTTTAAGTAGAGACGGGGTTTCACCATGTTGGCCAGGATCACCTCGATGTCCTGACCTTGTGATCCAGCCACCTTGGCCTCCCAAAGTGCTGGGATTAGAGGTGTGAGCCACCAAGCCCAGTTCAACAATTTTTTTTCTCAAAAGAATTGTTTTCATATTATTTGAAGACCCTCAGCAAAGCTCACATCTCTACTAATATGAAAAATCTCTTCCTTAAGCACTTTTCTCCATTTAGAAAAGTGTTCTGCCAGTTAAAATATAGGCTAAGCTATCCAATAAAGCCAGGGCTAATATTATGTTTACTCTCTCTAAAGTAAGTATTTCAGAGGAGATTAGTTAATTTCTAACTGTAGCATAGGTTATGGATCATGTGGTATCTTTTAAAATTTGAGTAAGGGCATGCTTTGAGCAAATAAGTTTAAGTTGACTTTCTTTTGCAAATAAAAGAGGTGTCTCTAAATTATTTATTGAATAATATTCCTGATTACTACATTTTCCTGGCTTAATTTGGCTGCTGAGGAAATTGAGGCCAGGCACAGTGTGGCTCATGTCTATAATCCCAGCACTTTGGGAGTCCAAGGCAAGAGGACGGCTTGAGCACAGATGTTGGAGACCAGCCTGGGGAACACAGGGAGATTCTGTCTCTACAAAAAAATAAATTAGCTGGATGTGGTGGCACTCACCTGTGGTCCCAGCTACTTGGGAAGCTGAGGTGGGAGGTTCACTTGAGTCTGAGAGGTCAAGGCTGCAGTGACCTGTGATCATTCCTGGACAACAGAGTGAGACCCTGTCTTTTTAAAAGAAAACAAAATTGAAAGTCTAATTTTTTATTTGCATTTCTCTCTGGCAGATTCTACCAGAAATGAATCCCAGACTGTAAAACCTGTGGTGTCATTTCAAACATTAAAACCTCCCACACTTCTGTAGTTGAACCCATAATACGCATTCCAATAAGGACCACTACTGTTTCCCTTTTGTCCAGAACTGACCAGCTGTCCAATGAGGGACCTGCCTTCCTTGGGGAAGAGATTTCTCATTAATAACAACAAGAAAATTCATTAGTCCTTGAGGTGCAATTAGTTTTAAGCTAAGATAATAGAAATGTAATATTCTCAGTTTTTTTGGAGTGATTAGAATTTATTCTTCTTAACCTAAACTCAAAGTTAAGTTCTCAGTGTCAAGTATGTGGAGCAGAAATTAAGAAACCACTTTAGAGAACCTAATACACAGTACTGCCTTCTCAGATCTCACTAGAGTAGATAATTTTTGCTCTTTAAATCTTTGCATTTGTTATTCCCACAATCATTACAACACTGTCACTCTTAGAATTTACAGTAGAGAGAGTATTTGAGTAGTGAAGACTCATAGCATTTGGAAGTCATTTAGAAAAGAATCTGGACTATTTAGATGCATTTTTGTAGTAAATCTGGTGCTCAAACACTGTAAAATTAAACATTTACATCTGAATCCAGCATCCTATTTTGCTTTGTAAATGAGGCCAAAGATGAAATCCAGATGTTTTTCCTTTGTATTTGTATTATCACTATATGGAATCTAAGTATATCTAAGGAAAACTAAACTTAAACTTACTTTGCTTGTTTCATATTAGTTTTTGTATGTTTTTTGCAGTATGTAATTAGATTATCTTTGGTTCTTTGAATCAAATGCTTTGCCCCAACCCCTTTTTCCACATTTTTCAGCTGTTTTCCTTTGAAATACTGACTTGGTTTTTAAAGATATTTTATCACAATTGCAGAAATGTGTTGTATGAAAGTTTTTTAAACAGGGCTAACTGAAGTCTTAGACGTTGAGCAGCTATGTGTAACCACAGTTTATATTACTTGCAACGAAGTCAGATTATTTTCGGATGTTAAGTATGGCTTAAAAGTATGTTAACTTGAAATGTAAAGAAACAGCAAAAGACAGGTGTATTTACAAATCACGTATTAAGGAAACAGGCTTGGTTAATTCTTCACTATTGACATCTATTATTTGCCAGTACGTTTAACCAATGATACTTTAAATCATGATACTTTAACCAACCTAGTTTAAAAGGTTGGTTCAAAAATGTTGAGGAAATAATGTATTGGTTGAGTTTGACCTAAATTTACAACGTAACCATGTGCTGTCTTACACTACCCAGATTGAGGGCGCACCAAAAGTTATGTCCCTAGGACTACAAGGTGTGTTGTTTAAGGATCTTGCAGACAGCCAGTGCCCCCATTGGCAACATCACTTCTCATCCTGGAGTTTCACCAGTTGGGAGGCCTCAAGGCACCAAGATTCCCATTTTTAAAATTCAGATCAAAGAGAAGAGTCCATCACTGTGACTGGGAAGAATGTCAAGTCACAGGGTAACGGCGAACCTTAATAAAACTCGACCCCTCTGCACCGAATACCCCACCAGGAAGGGCTCAGGCAGCCTTGGGGTTGTGTCTCATCCCAAGTCGCTGTGTGAAGCACGAGGCCCTCACACCTCATTTAAGGGAGGAGGCGTCCGGGGCGACTGGCCAGGTGTTCCGGCGCCTTTCCACCACTTCTCAGGCGTGGAGGAAGCGCGGGCCTCTGAGCACGTGGAGCCGCCCCGGGCCGCCCTGCACACCCCTCCCGCCAGATGTAGTCCAGGCCCAGCTGGGCCCGCGCAGGGATCCCCAGCACGGCCACCTGACTGAGTGCTGGGCGTGCTGCGGCCCGCTGCTTCTGCCTCCGCCGCCGGCGCTGCGGCCAGAGGAAGGCGCCCGCCGAGCACACGGGCCCTGGGAGCGCACTGCGGCCATTATCCACGGCGCCTCCTAGTGGGTCAATGGTAAATCCGCCAGGTTCTCGCGAGAGCTACCCCCGTCAGTGGGGATTATATAATTTCCCTCAGGCGGGGGTGGGGGTTCTGAGAGCACCCTTCCTCAGGAAAAGTTAGGTGCAAGCACAGGTGGCAGTAGGAGGGGCTCCCCTGGGGGAAAGGGGGTTAGGGGTGCTGTCCCCACTGCCCCCCCTACTTAGCTGGACAATGAGTCCTCTTATGCTAATGAGGCACTTACGTCACTTCCTCTCTTTCTCGGCCGCCATTTTGGCTAGGGCAGGTTCGGGGACTCGGTCCGAGGCGCTTGTATTGTCTGCTGAGGGGAGACGCGGGATCAGCCCCCCTCCCCCGCCTGTTGCCGCCGCCGCCTCCGCTGGCCCGGTCTCCCCTCCGCCGCCCGCCGGGATCCATGAGCTGAACTCCCGCCCCCCGGCCGCCGCCATCTTGTGCCCCCTCCCACTCCCGCCGGCAGCGCAAAGGGGGATTTTGGCGTCTTCTCAGACACAGCTCCCTCTCTCGGTCCCCGCTGCTGAGGAGCGAGAGGAGCGCGGCCGCCGCCGCCCGCGCCGGTGAAGCCGCCTCTCCCACTCCCTCCGTCTCCTCCCTCCGCCCCTCCTTTGTCTGCACCGCTCGACGACGCCGCCGCCGCCCGCCGCTCTGCTGCGCCCGCCGCGCCCCCCGGCAGCACCCGCGGCCGCGGCGCGAGCCGGAGCCCGCCGAGCCGGAGCGCGACGAGGCCCCGGGCGCGCCCTCCCCGCTGCCGCCACCGCCGTGCCGCCGCCATCCGCCCGCCGCCGCCGTCCGGCCCCCGAGCACGCCGGCCCCGCGCGCGCCTTGAGGCCGAGTCAAGGTAAGCCTGGCGCCGCCGCGCGCGGACCCGCGGCCCTGCCCTGCCTCCCGACCCCGGCCCGCGCGGCCGTCCGCCCAGCCCGGCCCCGGGCGCGGGCGCATTGTTGTTCGCATCGCCGCCCTCCAGCCGCACACACACTTCTTTGCACACCCCGGCGCCGACGGGCCGCCGGTCCCGGCACGGACCGCTACCCGGCTCTGCTCTGGAGGTCCAGGCGCCTCCTCCTGCAGCCCGACCCCCTTCTCCGCCCCGTGAGCCCACCGAGGCCAGCAGCCAGCCTGGCTGCCGGGAGCTTTTGCAGCTAATGGCATCTCCCCCACCCCGCCCCCAGCCAGAACCCAGCTTCTCCCATCCCTAGAACTAATCCCGTCCGCCCCCCACCCCCAAAAGGAGCCCCCCCCCACGCACACTCCCATGCCTGGAACGAGCCTTCTGCCAGGTCTACCCACCCTTAGCTGGGGGAGGGAGGACGGGGTTGGGGGGCCGGGGAGCGTGCATGGCACGGAGTGAAAGTCTTTGCCTCCCCTGTGCAATCCTTCCTTCCCAACCTGCCAGCTTCCCTCCTATCCTGACCACAGTCTACCAACCATCCCTTTTCCCAATCTCAGCTGCCTGGTCAGCACCTCTTTCGAACATTCTGAGTCCTAACTTTGCAG